GATCCCCGAGCAGGGCCGTGTTTGTTCGCAGGGGGCGTCGGCGCTCTTTGACATGATCGAGTACTACGAGTCGGCCACGCACCTCAACATCAGCTCCAACAAACACCTGGGGGCACGGGGCTGGCAGGCAGCTGCTCACATGATGAGGAAGGTGAGGATTCCCAAAAAAATTTAAAATTCCCAAAAAAAAATCCCGGAAAATCCCTGGGAATCGTTGCCGGGATTCCCTGAAATTCCTGCGGTTCCGAAATTCCCTCAAATTCCCCCAAATTCCCCCAAATTCCCCGGGGTTCCCATGGGCTGGGATGGCTCAGGGGGATGAGGAAAGTGAGGCTGTCTTAATTCCCAGAATTCCAAAAAAATCCCCCCAAAAATCCTAAAAATCCTTGGGAATCATTCCTGGGATTCCCTGAAATTCCTGGGGTTCTGAAATTCCTGAAATTCCCTGGGGTTCCCTGGGGTTCCTGAGGGTTTTCATGGCCTGGGATGGCTCAGGGTGATGAGGGAGGTGAGGCTTCCAGAATTCCCAAAATATTCCCAAAACATCCCCCAAAAATTCCCAAAAAATCCTTGGGAATCATTGCCGGGATTCCCTGAAATTCCTGCGGTTCCTAAATCCCCGAAATTCCCCGGGGTTCCCATGGGCTGGGATGGCTCAGGATGATGAGGAGGGTGAGGCTCCCACAATTCCCAAAATATTCCCAAAAAATCCCTCAAATCCCTGGGAATCATTCCTGGGATTCCCTGAAATTCCTGGGGTTCCAAAATTCCCAAAATTCCCCAAAGTTCCCCGGGGTTCCCGAGGGTTTCCATGGGCTGGGATGGCTCAGGGGGATGAGGGAGGTGAGGCTCCCACAATTCCCAAAATATTCCCAAAACATTCCCTAAAATTCCTGGGGATCATTCCTAGGATTCCCTGAAATTCCTGGGATTTCCTGGGGTTCCAAAATTCCTGAAATTCCCCCAAATTCCCCGAGGTTTTTCATGGCCTGGGATGGCTCAGGGTGATGAGGAAGGTGAGGCTCCCACAATTCCCAAAATATTCCCAAAAATTTCCCTAAAAATTCCTGGGAATCATTCCTGGGATTCCCTGAAATTCCTGAAATCCCCAAAATTCCCTGAAATTCCCGAGGGTTTTCATGGCCTGGGATGGCTCAGGGTGGGAGCCTGATGATGAGAAAGAAAAAATTCCCAGAATTCCCGAAAAAACTTTAAAAAAAAAAGTTAATTATCCCCCAAAAAAACCTGATTATCCCAAAAAAATTGTTAATTATCCCAATAAAAAAACTTGGAAAAGCCTTTCCCGGGATGATTATTCCCAGCAAAGAGTTAATTATCCCAACAAAAGGATAATGATGGCAATTATCTCAATTAACCCAATTATCCCAATTAACCTAATTAACCCAATTATCCCATTTATTATCCCGGGGTTTCCTCCCCATTCTTTCCCATCCCCCTCATTTCCCTTCGGGCACTCCCAGGGCTCAGAATTCCAGAGGGGTTGGAATTCCTGGGGAAGTTTTTTTGGGAATTTTGGAGGGAATATCTTGGGATTCTTTGGGGGAATTGTTTAGGAATTGTTGTGGAGTTTTTGTAGAGTTCTGTGGGAATTGTTTCAGGATTGTTTGGGAGTTCTTTGGGAATTTTTTTGGGAGTTGGGGAATTTTTGGAGAATTCTTTGGGGGAATTTTTGGAGAATTCTTGGGGAATTTTTTGGGAATTGTTGGGGAATTTTTGGAGAATTCTTTGGGAATTTTTTTGGGGAGTTGGGGAATTTTTGGGGAGCTGTTTGGGGATTGTTGGGGAATTTTTGGGGAGTTTTTTGGGAATTTTTGGAGAATTCTTTGGGGATTTTTTTGGGAGGTGGGGAACTGTGCTCCTGGATCTGTTCCCAGCTCCAGAATTCCCAAATCCCAGATTTTTTTCCTTCCAGTCCCTCTGCCATTCCCAAATCCCAGATTTTGGGGTTTGGATCCATCCCAGTCCCTGTCCCATTCCCAAATCCCGGATTTTGGGGTCTGGGGTCTCTCTGGATCCCTTTCCCATTCCCAAATCCCAGATTTTGGGGTTTGGGGTCTCTCTGGATCCCTGTCCCATTCCCAAATCCCGGATTTTGGGGTTTGGGGTCTCTCTGGATCCTTGTCCCATTCCCAAATCCCGTTTTTTTCCCCAGACCAGCTGCCTGCAGT